CCTCACTCCTGCCCTGGCACTGCTTCACTCCCAAAAGCACCCAGCAAACTCCTTTCATCCCAAGTCCTGTTGTGCCCCCTCTCTGTTCTGTGGACATAGGATACAATGTAGGAGAGGCTGCCCCCTCTCTCCACATCTATAGGGTATGTCTACGCAACAAAGTTATTTCGAAATAACAGCCCTTATTTCGAAATAACTTTCTTAGTGTCTACACAGCCAAATTGCTATTTCAAAATTAAATCGAAATGGTGGAGCACTTATTTCGAATTTGGTAAACCTCATTCTATGACGAATAACACCAAATTTGAATTAGCTAATTCGAAATAAGTGCTGTGTAGATGCTTATTATTGCTACTCTGGGCACAACCAGGAAAACTACTTCTCCTCTCCCCCAGCTGCGGTGCCCTTAAAGGGGTAGAGTCTGGCCACAGTGCCTGTGCCAACTCCAGGCCTGCCAGCACAGAGCCAGCAGTCGCTGCCCCTGATCCAGTGGCCCCACCATGAGCCAGGCAGCCAGTGCCAGCCAGCCCTCCACTGCTCCCCGGGCCCAGCCCCGAGCTCCCAGGAGCCTGCCGAGGCCGGAGAAGATGCCAGCCAGCCCTCCACTGCTCTCTGGGCCCAGTCCTCCAGCTACCAGGAGCTTGCCGGGGCTGGCGAAGGCGGGCGACTTCCTGGACCTGATCATGGACCTGATTGAGGTTTGGGGGGAGGCCTCCAATGTCCATGATCGCCGCACTAGATGGAGGAACGCGGCCGTCTACAGACGGATGGCTGCCAGCCTGGCCACCACAGGCCACATGCGCACCCAGGAGCAGGTGCGCATGAAAATTAAGGAGCTGCGGCAGGCCTATGCCAGGGCCACAGGGGGCAGCTCCTAAAGAGGGGCAGACATCTGCCCCTGTTTTGATGCCCTCGACCACATCCTGTTTGGTGGGGCGGTCTGTGCCACCCCAGGAGTCATCAATCCTGGAGCAGAGGGCCCTGACCAGGGCATGGAGGAGGAGCGCCAGGAGCTGCAGGAGCCCAGAGGGAGCATGCCACACAGCCAGGACCCCTGAGCCATCCCAGCAGACCATCACCAGTGTCATCCAGGGAGACAACAACATGTGAGTGCCCTCACTGTCCCTGTATTGGGGGACAGAGAGGGAGACCAGAGACTGCGCTCATGGACCTTGCCACGGATCACGCAGCAGCCTGTTCACATGCGAGCATGTGCCATGCCACCCCTGGGCACGTGGCCCTGGCTGGCTGCCACACCGGGGCTTTAGCCTATTAGCCACATGCATGTGTGAAGAGACATGACATGCTCCTGACCCCGGGGTGGGACACAGCAGGATGCCCTCCCTCTTCTACGTAGAGGCAGAGGACATTTTCCGCCACCCCCACCACCTCACCCACAATATACACAGCACAGGGGCATGGATGTGGTCTCGGGGCAGCTCCCACTCCCGGGGATAGCAGGACATTCCAAACATGGCCTGTGTGCAAGCACATCGGCTCTGATGGTGCAGGGAACGGTCGTCTTCACCTTGCAGAGGGAAGCTGGGCTTCACCCCCTGTGTCCCCAGAGATAACAAGACCACTTCTCTTGTTTCTCCACAGCTGCATGTTCAGGGCACACCATCCCGCCTCGGACATGCTTCCGCACCCGAGGACCACCTGTGCAGTGCAGGGGTAGCAACAGCAGCACCTGGGGGGCACTGCAAACCTTGCACCGCATCCTCCAGAATTGGATGCAAGAAGGCCTGGAGCTCCGGCGGGAGCAGCTTGCCCAGGGCCGGGCCATCTGCCAGCACCTGCAGATCCTGGTGCAGAACGTGCTCTCTCCCCAGCTACTGCTCCTCCTCCCACTCCTCCCCCCCACATCTCTCCAGGAGTGCCAGGGCCCCCCACATCTGCGGCGCTAGGAGACAGTTGGCCCGATGAGACCCTCCCCACCCCTGAATCCTGAGCTTCCCCTTCCTCTTGCTTCCCCCTTCCAGCTCCCTCCTTCCAGGTTTCCCCCTCCCCTCTCCCACCATCTGTCCTCCTCTCTCCCGCCTCCTTTCCCCAGTCTCACCAGATTTTCATTCCCCCCTCCCCAGTTTTGTTAAATAAAGACAGTTTGTGTTTATGAAAAAGCGTGTATTTTATTTGACATCAGGAAGGCGGGCTGCAGGGGGTGAATGGAAGGACATGAGGGAGGAATGAGGCACAAGCCCCCAGTGGGGCAGACCAGGGAGACTGTTAGTGCTCCTCAGGGTGGAAGCTCTCCCGCAGGACATCGGGGGGGCTGTCAGTAGCCGGAAGGGACCTCCTGGATGGCAGCCTGCAGCAAGTACAGCCAGGCTTGCAGCAACATGTCCAAGAGAAGCCCCACAGTGCAGCTCTGGCTCCATGTTGCAGAGTGCTGTGATATCCCGAATGAGGGCAACCAGAGCACACAGAGACAAAATGCTTTGCTGTCCCTCATCGAGGTAGACCACCAAGCAGAGAAACCTGAGAACTGGCTTTCTTTGGGGGGGCGGGGCGGCTTTAAAGTACAGACCTCAGTTACCTTGTGTGGCTGCTGCCTGAGGCAAAGTCCTGACCTGGTGCCCTGCTGGAACTGGTTCTTGCCAGTCTTAAATGTGATTCGCAGTCTGCTCAGTGTGGACGCATTATTTCGAAATAGCAAAACACTATTTCAAAATGCATTTTGTGTGTAGGTGCGTTATTTCGAAATAACTATGTTGAAATAAGATAGTTTGAAATAACGCTGTAGTGTAGACATACCCTAATATATTGAATGTGTATGAGAGAATCATCTGAAGTGTATGCATAGATTATGGAACAGCAAATCAATCTGATGATCATTAACTTAGGCTTAGTTATCTCTCTCTTTTTCTGCTGTGCAACAACATCATCAGGCTCTCTGGCCACAAAAGCGGCCAGCCAGAGGGGGATTGGTGAGCATAGCAAGCAGGGTACACCCCCCCCATACCCTTTATACAAGCTTTTGGTCTTTGTGTGGTATTTTTATATTTTAGTGAGTGTTAAATTTTTCCAAAGAAAAGAAGGTGCTTGAGTATAGATTTAAGCACCTTGTTTTAGGAATCTATTCATTTGGACCCAAAATGTCAAATTAGATTTTTCATTTTAATATATATTGTCAGTGATATTTTTTTAAGAGCTGTATTTCTGTGTCAAGAACATGAGGTTATGCCTAGAGAGCATGATAAACATTCCTTTTTATGGAACATTATATATAAACTGAAAGCAAAGTAAATAGCAGTTTGTCAGATGATTGTTTAGAGAGTTGACACAAGAAATCATTTATAGCTCTCAGTGAAAAGCTACTTTGCTTTGGGAACTCTCAGACTGAAATCATTACTAGTCCTTCTGGCATATAGCACTCTCACCAGCAGCTAGGTCTATGTTCCAATTGGAACAGCACAACTTCTTTAGTAATTCCTATACATGTCTGCACCAGCTACTGTTTTAAAAGCCTGATTCTGTGATCACTGACTTTAACGGTGAAGGTTAATGCTGTAAGGAGTATCTAGATGCATTTCCACTACTAGCTAGTAAGTGAAATGCGAACACTCCAGAGTGCAAAATCTCTAGCAGAGTCATTTTTAAACCTGAATGTGTACTTAGTTGAGTCTTCTGAATTTTTTCCCCTTTATAACTTTGTTTTTCTTCCTGCAGAAGAATGTGGAACATACACTCCCAACATGAGACCAGTGTATCCAACAAAAACGTTCCCCAATCATTACAGCATTGTCACAGTAAGAACTTATGTGTTTTTCTCTCTAGAAGAGGCATTGTTCAGAATTTAACCAATTTCAGGGGAAATGGGATTTGTTGAATATTAAACCCAACAAGAACAATAGTTAAGATTTCCCACAGAAGTATGAAAATGTTTTTCACATTTTTATTCTTTCTCATCATACATTAAGACAGATTTTAAGCATGAAAACTAAAGACTACTAATGCTTGGTCAGATTATCTTGATCCAGATCATTAATAAAAACTATACTGGTTGCAAGCATTTCTGTGGCATTATAAATTGGCATGCTTCTTCACTTTGTGCATTGGTATTAATCTGGCATAATCTGCTGAATCAATTTTGGCCAGACTAGAATCAAACTAGTTTTTTTTCATTCCTTGTCTTTGAGGAGATATGTGCCTCTTCTTTAGAACGTAAAATGTGGCATTAAGTAGGCCTAGATGTGATCTGAAATCGAACCCGAAATCTGAAAATCTCATGAGCTTTGAAGACAGTTGGCTGGCTGGGATCCACATCTGGTTCAGAGGCAGTCCAAGGACAGAAGTGTCACTTACTTCTGATATTTTAAGGTTCTCCCATCTTAAATATATACAAAAGAAAGTAAACAAATTTTTTAAAAAAGCTTCCAAAACTGGCTTGTATCTTACTGCCTTCTGTGGTATATCAGCAGACTCCCTTGCGCTTTATGGTGCAAAGGGTTTAGAAACTCAAATTAAGACCCTATATCACAGCCTTCTGCTCCAACTCATTAGTGCTGTTGTCTTTTGCATGGTGTGGTGGTGGGTGCAGTTATGTGAACAGTCTCTGAATCTCAACCTAGGTTTTAAAAAGTTCTTTGCTCCTTCCCCCCCATCACACTCTTATGAAACCTGGGGAGAGGGAGAGGGAGAGGGGGAGAGAGAGAAAGAGAAAGAGAGAGAGAGAAAATAAAGCTTCTCCATTGTCACTATTCCCTTTTCAGAAGCATGTATTTATTCAATCACAAACACAGTTCAACATCAATCAAAATAGGTAAGCCAGGCACACAGCAGGTATCTCCAGCCTGACCTCTCACATAGCTGCCATGCTAATCACCCTTCCAGCTCCTGGCCTTGTCACAAGATCACCCTAGGCTCCTCCCTACTCCTGGCATCTCTCTACTCCCCATCGATGAGCTACTTGATATTATCTTATGGAGGCAGTCACAGGTGTGTTCCCACTTAAATGCTTTATGAAGGCCATCCCATAAAGTGACAAACCAGCTGTGCTACCCTTAAGATGTCAAAGAGGCTAAGGTTATGACAAATGCCTCTAAAAGGGTATATAAGGCTATGTCTACACTCCAGAGTTTTTGTGCAAAACCACCCTTTTTTGCACAAAAACTCATGGAGCGTCCACACCTCAAGCATGTTTTTGCGCAAGAAAATTGTGCAAGTTCTGTGAATCGACAGAACAGAGGAGTTTTTGCAGTATAGGCATTCCTCTTTCTATGAGGAATAACTGCTTTTTGCATAAGAGCTCTTGCGCAAAAAGGTGTGTGTGGATGGGAAACAGGCTGTTTTTGCACACAAAAAACCTATCGAAAGAAGCACAGGTGCCCTGGTGGCCATTCTGTTAATGGCAATCAAAGCTGTCTTGAGGGAGAGCTTCCATGCAGTCTGGATGTTTTCTTGCGCAAAAGTGCATCATTTTTCTGATGCGCTTTTGCAGTATGGATGCACTCTTGCACAAGACGTTTTTGCGGAAGATCTCTTCCACAAAAAGCTTCTTGCACAAGAAGCCTTCAGTGTAGACGTAGCCTAAGAAGAAGGTCAATTCAGCCTGAAGAGGTCAAGCCAAATTCAGCCAAAGTCAACGGAGTTATATCCATTTACACAAAGTCTGAAAAACACTGTTACCTTTGAAATGTATCAAACTGTATTTCATTTTTGTAGCAGTGAAATGTGACACGGTTAGATAATTCTACGACTTGTAGCACTTACAGTGATTTGTACATACAATCTTTTTAATATAAATCTTTCTTTTTTTTATAAAATGGCACAATCTTAATTGTAGGGGCTGTATCCAGAATCCCATGGCATAATTGATAACAAGATCTATGACCCCCATAGAAATGCTTCCTTCACGCTTAGAAATGCAGAGAAGTTTAATCCACAGTGGTACCAAGGACAGCCTGTAAGTATTAAGAACTAATATATTGTTATGAGACACAAGAGAGTAATTATGGTTATTTCTAAGGCAGCCAAGAAGCATCATTCAGTATAACTACGTGATTACATTGTTGCAACTGTAAAATGGATTTTGAAATAGTTTAAACATAATCTGCCATTAGGGAAAAAAATAGCTGGCAGGGTTTTGCTAATCATCTTGTTTATGATTTTTATGGCCATTTTCCCTGTTTAGAACATTTTTGTTGTTCACTATCAGTCTCCCGCTCCCCCCCCCCACACACAGGTGACTTCCCCAAACAAAGTATAATTCTGTAGAATGAGTTCCAGTCCAAGGTCCTTGAAGATTCACTTGGTATAGTCCCAACTCCATGGACCCCCAGAGCTTAAAAAGTCATCTAGCTCTCTATACTCTCCATCTGAAATTACCCAGAGATTCCCACCCTTTCTTCTTCTTTTTTTTGTCTGAGAAACCATGCATTAGAAAGAAATAAAACTAGATGCCTGTGTGTGTTCTTGCCTTTTCTTTTCTCCATTTCTCTAGCTCATATGTCTCTCTCACTCTTCTTTCTCCATCTTCCATTTTTTGCCATTTCTTCCTCTTCTCCAGCCTGTATCACTCACCTTCCTATCTTCCCTTCACTAGGTCTAGATGTATCATCCACTCCCAAATTAGTTTTAGCTTACTCTTTTCCCCTAACTTGCCATATTTTGCCAACTAAACATTCAAATATCATGATCTTGGCTTGAAAATTGTGAGGTGTGAGGTGAAAGTGTGTTTTCAGTTCGTGTTACTTGCCTTGGGGTGGAGGAGTTGAACTTTAAAATTATGCTCAATTTATCCTTTCAACTTTTTTCTGCTACTGTGAATGCTAGAATTGTTTTTTAAAATGAAAAGATGGACATTTCCCTAAAACAGGATTCCAGGATCTGAGAATTTACAACAAACATTAAATAATTATGCTTATTGTAATCCCACAGATCTGGCTGACAGCTGTGTATCAAGGTCTAAAAACTGGTACATTCTTCTGGCCTGGATCAGATGTAAGAATTAATGGAACTTTTCCAGACTTCTATAAGGCATATAATGAGTATGTAAAACATATATTTTACTTGTGTGTATGTGTTTGTTTGGTAGAGTAATAAATTGTGGCAGAGGTAATCTATTTTTGTCAATGTTCAAATGTCATGATCAAGGCTTAGTGAGGATCCAGACTCCAGAGAAAATAATACCAAAAAATAACCATAAAGATAAGTAAATAAAAAGATTTTGCAGCTGGTTCAAAAATGTTTGGCAGTCTGGACTAGGAACCAGATGGGCTCTGGCAATCTGGATTGTTGACTTCCCAGATAGAGAGAAAACGTTATCTTGGCTTTGCTCTGCATTCTTTCCTAGTTTGGATCAGCTTTCACAAAACGATAAATGGCAGACAGAATGTAAACATATTCCTGCTTATTAATATAGTATTGCATATTGTGAAAAAACAAAATTCCACTAGCCACAGCCTGCATTTTTCATTATGCATGTTGTTACTGTCTGAGAAACCTATTATGCTATCACATGTGATAGAAAAGTATGTTTATAACAGAGGTATGCAAAAGATTTCCCATCCAAATCTGGGAATGTTTTGGTGTCTTCTCTTTACACTTGGTGCATATATTTCACAAATACTTAGATTCTAAGGTTAATCATTCAATCTGAGCTCTTCTCTTACATGAAATAGGAAAATCCTTACATGATATTGTCTATGTACTTGAAAAATTCTGTGCAATTAGATAGCTATGAGAAATTATCAAACTGACCTTATTGTGAATTCTCAGGGTATTTCACAGCAAGGCAGTAGCTTTCATGGTCAGCTTCTATTCTTAACTATGAATAAGCATTTCTCTGTAGTGGAAAAATTATGTGCATTTGATGATCCTCATTAATAATATCAAAATCTTTCTTGAGGTCCTCAATCTTCTCTGATCCTATTTTTTTCTTGTCACGTAGATTCTGACTGTTGCTTGCCTATGTGATGGTCTATACTATTCTCCAGCTACAAGGAGTCCTGTGGCACCTTATAAACTAACCAAAGTGTTGGAGCATAAGCTTTCGTGGGCAAAGACCCACTTCGTCAGATGCACGTAGTGGAAATTTCCAGAGGCAGGTATAAATATGCAGGCCAGAATCAGGCTGGAGATGACGAGGTGGATCCAATCAGGGAGGATGAGGCCCACTTCTAGTAGCTGATCTGGAGGTGTGAATACCAAGAGAGGAGAAGCTGCTTTTGTAGACTCTGAATGGCTAGCTAACCACAAAAGCAGCTTCTCCTCTGTTGGTATTCATACCTCCAGATCAGCTACTAGAAGTGGGCCTCATCCTCCCTGATTGGATCCACCTCGTCATCTCCAGCCTGATTCTGGCCTGCATATTTATACCTGCCTCTGGAAATTTCCACTACGTGCATCTGACGAAGTGGGTCTTTGCCCACGAAAGCTTATGCTCCAACACTTTGCTTAGTCTATAAGGGGCCATAGGACTCCTCGCCATTTTTGCATATTCAGACTAACACGGCTACCCCTCTGATACTATTCTCCAGCTAGTTGTGCAGGATCAGTTGGAATTCCATTGTGTTGTTCAGGCTGTAGCTATCATCACCGATACCACCTTAGGGTATATCTACACAGCAGGCTGGTTTTAAAAATACAGTATATGAGACACATCCTCCTCACTTTACATGCTTGTTGAAATCAGTAGGACTGCTTTGAGGAAGGCAAGCAAGATTTAGGCTATGTCTACACAGCAGTGTTATTTCAGAATAACTGTCGTTACTCTGAAATAACATAGTCCGAATCTACACAGCAGGTAGTTATTTCAACATTATGTTGAAATAATGTCAAGCTGGAGGACTTCTTACACCACTCCTGAAACCCCCATTTTATGAGGAGTAAGGGAAGTCGGAGGAAGAGTGTTCTAACTTGGACTTCCTGCTGTGTAGATGGTGCCAAATGCAGAAATAAGCTATTTTGACTTAACTTGAGCTACGTCAATTGTGTAGCTTATTTGGCTTTAGTCCTGCTGTGCAGAAGTGCCTTTAGGGCCTTATCCAAAGCCCGTGGAAATTAGAGGCTCCTATTGACTTCAGTGTGCTGTTGAGCAGGCCCTTAGCCTTGTAGCTGTAAAAATTGCCATCATTGTAGAACTCCAAAAATTGATCTAGAGCAATGGTCTCCAACTTTTTTACACCCAAGATCACTTTGTAAATGTCAGGGCAAGCCTAGATCTACCCCATCCTTTTCCTGAGACCCCACCCCTTCTTTGAGGGCCCACCCTCTCCATTTCCCTCCTCTCCATCATTTGCTGTCCCCAACCCTCATTGGATTGAGACAGGCGGTGAGAGCTCTGGGGTGGGAATGAGGGATTTGGGTGTGGGAGGGTGTGACAGGTACAAGCTATGGGAGGGAATTTGGATGCAGGAGGAGGTGGAGAAGGGGATGTTGCCTCCAGGAGGGGGCTCCAGGCTGGAGAGTGTTGGGGTCAGGTAGAGGGTTGGGGTGAAGAGCAAGCCACAGACTTTTGGATATTGGGGTATAGGAGTTTGGGTTAGGCTGTATGAGGGGCTCAGGGTAAGGAGGATGGGTGTATGTAGGGAGGGTTCAGGCATGTTATGATGTTGCGGCTAGATGGGGACTTGGCCCCAATTGGGGGCTTGTTGGTCAGGCTTCATTTTTAAATAAAATATTATGTCCAACACAAAAGGTTTCAACATTGCCTTTATTTATGGGAGGGGCCACTGACCCACAGAAAAATCAGTCGAGGACTGCACAAATTAGATGCAAAGAACAAATCCCTCCAAAACCCCCAGCCCTCCCTGATGTAATCCCAGCTGAGACACCTCACTCCTCTGGCACTCCAGCCCTAAGGAGCGAGGGGAAGGGTGGAGAAAGTTAAAAAAATCTTTAATACAGCATATGCTGTTTCTCAGGGTTGATATGTTGTACCCACATGTCAAGGACCCTATCACTCCATGGAACTTGAACATGACCCTCTGTAAGTTTATGGGGGGGGGGGGGGCGGGAGAAGCTGCTGCTAAGTGTTTGGCCAGGAGGGAGGGGGCAGGAGCAGGGTGCTTGTGGGGGGTCTCTAACCGGGAAGAGGGGGCAGGAGCAGCTCAGCTGGTACCTGGTCGGGGGGAGGGGTGTCTCCAGGGATGAGTATCTCTTGGGCAGAATATGCAGGCAGCACTGGAAGAAGCACATGGGCAGCTCCTTTAAGAAATCCAGCCACTCCTTGTATGATCCTCCAACTGCCATCTTAACCCCCTCCTTCTCCCCCTCCCTCCCCCACACCTTCCCAGAGCATGGGGAAAGGAAGGGAAGATAAGAAAGTGCGTGTGCTGCTGTGGGGAGGGGAGGAGCAGTGCACATGCACTTCCTGAGAAGCCAGCTCTGGCGTGGAGCCTTGGTACACGCCCCCACCCCTGTCCCTCTGCAGAAAGCCAGTGTTGGCTCTAATTTTGCGAGGGGCAGGAGGCTGTAGTGCCAACATGGGATGCTCAGTGCAGGTGGAGGGATTGAGGGGGGGCTGGGGACACTGCCTTGAGATCGACTGGCAGTGCTGATTACGATTGATTGGTTGGTTACCACGGATCTAGATATATTTAAAGGATGGCCAACTTTAATGTTGCCAAGTGCTTTGCTGAAATGAAGAGAGGTTTCATAACTCACCTGAACATAATTTTCAGTTTTTTGAAATACAATTGCTATTGGTTTTTTTCTTTTTTTTCTGATGCAGTGCAGTCCCATTTGAGGAAAGGGTGATAACTATTCTTCACTGGCTGCAGTTACCTGAATATGAAAGGTAGGTACATAGGAACATAGGTGTTAAATTTCAAATGTAAAGCTCCTGTTTACAGTGTTAGAATGTAATGTATTCATTAATCATTATTTTATTAATGTGCAAGTTAGTTATATTTAATATAATACTGTGTGCATTATTTCAGTTACCTCAAAAAAAACCTACCGGTAAGAGAGGGCATAGTGGGTCAGACCAATGGTGAGTCTGTCTCAGTATCCTGCCTTGATAGTGGCAATGCCAGATGCTTCTGAGAGAATGAACAGAACAGCACAATTATCAAGTGATCCACCCCCCCTGTCACCCAGTCCCAGAATTGGGCAATCCAAGGTTTGAGCTATCCATACATGAGTGCATCCCTGGCTATCTTGGTTAATAGCCATGATGGACTGATCTAATTCTAATTATCTAATTCTTTTCTGAACCCAGTTACACTTCTTGCCTTCATAGCATCCCCTAGCGATGATTTCCCCAGGTTGACTCTGCATTGTGTGAAGAAATAGTTCTTCTTTGTTTGCTTTAAACCTGCTACCTATTAATTTCATTGGGGAATTCTGGTTCTTGTGTTATGCAAAGAGGTAATTAACTCTTCCTTCTTCATATTCTCCACACCATTCATGATTTGATAGACCTCTGCCATTATTCCCTACAAGTCCTCTTTTTCCAGGATGAATTGCCCCCATCATTTTAATCTCTATTCATATGGAAGCTGTTGCATACTTCTAATATTATTTGTTGCCCTTCTTGGAACTTTTTCCATTTCTAATATATCCTGTGACCAGAACTGAACACAATATTCAAGATGTAGTCATACCATGAATTTATGCAGTGGCATTGTGATATTTTCTGATTTATTATTTATCCCTTGCCTAACTTTTTAGACTGCCACTGAACACACATTTTCAGAGATCAGTCTATGATGTCTCCGAGATCTTTCTTACATGGTAACAACTAATTTAGACTCACATCATTTTATATGGGTAGCTGGGATTTTTTAGTTTTCCTACATGTATTACTTTGTATTTAGTAACATTACATTTCATCTGCCATTTTGTTGCCCCTCATCCAGTTTTATGAGTTCCCTTTGAAACTTTCCTCAGTCTGCTTTGTATTTAACTATCCTGAGTAATTTTGTATTGTTTGCAAATTTTACCACTCTGCTGTTTCCCCCCTTTCTTCAGATCATTAATGATCAACAAATTACTTGTTTCAAGCCTGTTTCTAAGCAAATTGTCTATTTCTTTCCCTTGTTTTAAAAAGTTCCCTTACTAAATGATGCATAGTTATTTCTAATCCTTGATATCCACTGTTGAATTATAATTTTCCAGACTATTTTTCAATATATGTAAAATATTACATTTTTTGGTGCTGTTTGATATAGACCACACTTTTACACTCTGTATTTAGAAGAACCAGATACCTCAGGCCATAAGTTTGGACCAGTCAGCAGTCAAGTAAGTGGGTGGTTTTGTTTTTGTTTTTATTTTAAAGCTCTTTCCTGAGTTAGTGATGAGGCTTTGTAAAGCATATTAAATTTACAACCATACACTGGAGCACTCGTCTGCTTTATAATTATTAGAAGGACTTTGTGGGAGGGTGAACATGACATAACATACATAGTAAAAGGGCTTATAATAAACGTGTTTTTTTTTTTTTTTTTTAATGCTAACAAATTAAGTACTGTTTTTTATGTATAATTAAAAATTGCAAATGTGGATGAGGTTATAAATGGTGTATCTTTTGCCCTTCTCTCCACCGATTTCCACGTCACTGAGTGCCAGTTCTCCCTTTTGACAAAAAATATTAGAAAATGTTGGGAAAAAACAGTTTTTTAGGAACATTATCAGATTAGGGGAAAAACACACTTGGTTTAAAAAAATGAGTTGAGAAAGATGACGTGACTAAAACATTTCAATCCGCTCTAATCCTAGTCCATTTTTGGCATATGGCTGTTCACGTTGTAAGTGGCAGTTGCTGTCTCAGAATCTCATTTAGGTGGATAGGAGTCCTATTTCCCTCCATTGCAGATTTTGCCCACTTTGGCATAGAAGAAGCAGGTGTTACTACTTCCTGTGTTGTACCCATTCTGTAAATAAAAAGAAGCCTTCAGTTTCCAGGATGGGTCAGTGTTACATCCTTCAGTACATGCATCTACCAAAAAAAAAAAAAAAAAAAAAGGAAGGGAAAATAACTATTCAGTAATTTGGAAAAACTAGAGAGTGCTGCTATTTTGAACCCAGGAAAAGTTTTGGAATCTTTACCTGATTCCTCCAGATTTTACAGGAGGTATCATCAAGAGGCTTTCAGTTTCTCTTGTGCGGTGTGGGGAGGCTTTCACAAACAAAACACAGGTTCTATGATAATATTGAAAGGTCAATGCAGTTCTTTTGTTGACTTAACTGTCAACGAGAGCTCAACAGTTGTCTTTGTCTTTCTCCTCTCCCTATGTAATATAAAATTAAGTTATTAGCATAAAAAATATTTTAAAGATTAAAAACCAGTGAAAGCGTGATTCTGCAACTCTTACTTATGCAAGTAGTTCCATCCAGTAATGCAACAAGCTTATTATAAATGTTAATTGCTTGTATTGACTACTTATGCATCTAAATTATTCTTGCAAGTAGAGCTATGTCACCTAAGTCCTAAACATAAAAAGGAGTGAAGAACTGAGCCATAGGATGGCATTTCTTATGGTTTAAAATTAAATTTTCAATCTGTGATTAAGACCCGCAAGTCACCGATTCATCCCTCTATTTCCAGTTAAAGTGACCCAAATGAGAAACCATATAATTTACATGAAGATGAAACTGATTGGACTATTTTTATAAGAAATTCTCATTTTAAACAAATAGTTTATACTTAATCTGAAACGAAAACTTGGGTCTGACCAGGCAATCCTTATTCATATGAATAGTTCCACTAAAACCTATGGGTGCGTCTACACTGCATCCTTAACTCGAAATAAGAAATGTAATTTGAGCTATGCAATTTGCGTAGCTCATTTCGAGTTAATTTCACCGCTATTTTAAAATGTCCCTTAATCCTTGTGGAACAAGGTTTTCAGGGACGTCGGAATAGCAAGCCCATTATATTTTGAAATAATGGGCTTATTTCAAAGACATGTAATAGCTATTTTGGGATACCAGAAGTATCCTGTAATAACACCACATTGTAGACGTACCCTATGGGAATACTTATGGGAAGAGTCTGCAGAAAGAAGTATTTTATTTGTGTATGGGTCACGTTGTGTCTTACATTTTACATTCACCAATTTCAGATATATGAATTAGTTTCTAAATGCTTAACATCTGTTTTACATCGACACATTTCTATTGTGCAGGTCATTCTTGCACTACAGAGAGTGGACAACATTGTTGGGATGCTGATGGATGGCCTGAAACAACTGAACTTGCACAGATGCCTAAACATCATTCTTCTATCTGATCATGGTAAATTGATGCATCTACCGTGGCAAAATGAGAACAGATGCATAAATGGAACTAAGTGGCATGCTGCAATTTTTATTAACAGTTATTAATAATATAGTAAAATATTAATCTTTAGCACAGGAAGGGCACAACACACTCATCTCTCACTTCTACACCAGCTGTTTTATTGGTTCCAATGTGGAGGTTACTGGGCTCATTACTAATATAACCCTTAACTTGAGACAGGCAGGAGCAGCCCGAGGCCGGCTGTGGCAGCTGGTGCCTTCTGGCGCCTTAGGCAAGTGGCGCAATTGGCGCCCCTCGCCTGCACGGCCATCAATGGCCGTGGCATCATCATTGGGCGCCCAGGCCAGCGGCGCTCTAGGCAACTGCCTAGTTTGCCTAGGCTCATGGGCCGCCCCTGGAGACAGGGTCTCCTCAGTCTGCTCGCTAGGACTTAGTCCTAGCACTATCCCTCCTGCCAGGGGACAGAAGATGCAGAAAGATGGGGATCTCAACCCATGGAGGCCAGAAAGTCTGACATTGGCCCACAAAGTCTCACTTTGTCCCGTGATGCCCGAGGCCCATCACCAAAATCCCAGGTCTTTTATCTCTGGGAACTGTTCATTTTATCCTCTTAACTGCACTGGAAACTTATCACAAATTGTGATAAATTAATAACTCAGCCCAGCCTCACATTTTATGCTAATCAAATTCCTACTATGTACTGCTGTGGTTTGAAGGTGCCTCTAGATGAGAAAAAACTCCCCGATCTTCTGCCAATTAGTCCATGGGGGAAAAGTGTCCTTATTCCTGACACCTGAATCAGCTGGACTCACAGCCTGACAGATTCTGAGTTCCCATTCCTAGTGTAAGGAGAGTAGTCTAGGCTGATGGAAAGGTACAGAAAGAGGGTCCAAGTTAAATCTGGGAGCTGGGGAATGCTAGCCAGTCAGCACCCCCATCCTCTCAGCTGTCCAATGTCTGCAAGAAACCTGGTGTCCCTCAGCAAGTGTTTCTTTCTCACTGCTGGGATGATCCATTTTCACCCTGGCTCCATCAAGTTCCCTCACCCATGAAGGCAGGTGGTGACATTTTGTTTTCATAATAGAAATGCATAAAGTCAGATGTCTTCCCTTGTATAGAAAAATATTCTGGACCTGATTCTTTTTTTTACACCCCAGCCCCTTTACAGCTCTGGCGGTGTAAATGGACTTTAATGTAAATTACATTTTACAGTGCCAGAGCAATGTAAAGAGTCCACACTATATCTGAGAATCAGGACTTTTATTGTCAATTTTTGGAATTGGTCGGGGAGAATGATATAGTTCACTTTCATTTCACATGCTGCACCCAATTCTTTCTTCCCCCGTTTATCAGTTTAAGTGACTAAAAGCAAGAGATTCCATTTTAAGAATACATCTAGTTTTTATTTTTTATAACATTCTGGTTTCCTCTTTATTAAATAATTACACTATGGTGTACATATGCACATTGCACAAATGGTACCAAAAACCACAGCCATGTCCTGTTGTTTCCACTAGCTACCTCTGACCTCCCTTTTATTGCATGTCCCAGAAGTGAAAGGTTATATCCCCTCTACCACTCCAGCTCCTCCCAGTATCCTTTATTTTTCTCCTTCAGTGAGGAAATCTATTGCAGTTTTATTGTGAGGACTGATGTGAGAGTGTATTACTGGACTGCTGAAAGGGCAGATGTACATTATAAATTCACATTTCCTTCCTGCTGTTCAGTTCTCTTGTGCTTAGTGATAATTTAACCAGGAAAGCTACATTTTCCCTTTTGTACCAAAGAGCTACATATTCTGTTACCAAGAGTACCGCAGATTTGTACTAACGTTTCTAAAAACAACATTTTTTCCCCTCTGTAGGTATGGAAAAAGCTAGCTGCAGTAAAACAGTGTCCCTGAGCACATACATGGAGGATGTTCAAGATATCACAGTAATTCCTGGCCCAGCAGCTCGTTTACGTCCCCAAAATGTTCCAGATGAGTATTTCTCTTGTATGTAGCTGCTAAGCTAATTTGTGTTACATGATTATGTGTTTCTATATTTTTAAAAATAAAGTGAGAATTAATTTGTACAGAATACACTGATAGGGTGTGTCTAAACTACATAGCTCCATTGATGGAGCCATGTAGATTAGGCTGATGGCAGAGGGAAATGAAGCCGCGATTTAAATAATCGCGGCTTCATTTAAATTTAAATGGCTGCCGCGCTCTGCCGACCAGCTGATGATCAGCTGTTTGTTGGCAGATCGGGGCAGTCTGGACGTGCTGCTGTTGACAAGGAAGCCTTTGTCGACTGGCGCAGGTATGCCTCGTTTCATGCATACGCGTCCAGAATAGCGCGCTGAGCCGACAAACAGCTGATCAGCTGTTTGTTGGCTCAGCGCAGCAGCCATTTAAATTTAAATGAAGCCGCGATTATTTAAATCACGGCTTCATTTCCCTCTGCCAATCAGCCTAATCTACATGGCTCCATCGACGGAGCCATGTAGTTTACACACCCATATTCTTCAGATTCAGTATTAGCTTATGGAGAAATTGAACCACAAGAATTGGGGAAACTGTTATGCTCTAGAAGCATAAATCTGCTCTTTAAAGGCATTTAAAGACATAGCTCGCTTACATGTAGAGCTGGGGCTCTCTTAGGCTATGTCTAGACTACATCACTCTTTTGAAAGAGGGATGTAAATTAGACATATCGAAATAGCAAATGAAGCTGGGATTTGAATTTCCCGTGCTTCATTTGCATAATTGCGTCATGGCTTCATCTGCAATTTCAATATGTCTAATTTACATCTCTCTTTCGAAAGAGGGATGTAGTCTAGATGCACCCTTAATCTCTCTTTGTGGTTTAGAATAACACAAATTATTAGATTCGATACTGGAGTCATTAGGCGATATTTAATGGCCTGTGATATATAATACATCAAATTAGATGACCTAATAATCCTTTGTGGCCTCAAGCTCTTTGAATCTTTCCTAGCCTCGACCCTATCCTTTTCTAAGAAAAATTGCTGGATTAAGTTTGCTTTGTTTCTTTTGGTGTTTTTTTTCCTTTGGAAGCTTATTAGAAACCTGTTTATAAACACGGTGCCAAGATTAAGTTATATCAAGAAAACTCCATGTTATTTGACTAAGACAATAGTTAGTGCTTTGTTTTGTGCACTTATGACAAAATCTTGAATGTCAAATTCCAGTTGGCAGCCTTTTTTTTCCTGTCAACCTTATTTAAACCATAAGTATTTGAACATTATAAGTCAGAGGTGGGGAACCTCCAGCAAGCTGTTTGTCAGGGTTATCCTTTGGCTGTGCCAAGAGATGGTTTGTTTATCCTGAGTACCTCCAGCCAATGAAGCCACAGAAAACAATGGCTTAGCCCCCACCACTTCCTACTACCCACATTCACTGGGAATGGCAAACCATGGCCACAGGGAGTTGTGAGGGCCCTTGCCTGTGAATGCTCAGATAAACAAACTGTCGGTTGGCCTGCCAGTTAAAAATCAATAGCTAAAGTGACTGGAGAGAAAAGAATATGAAGGAAACTTCTCCAGAAAAGACAGCTAGTTTTAAAAAGTATAGTTTGAAGATTTTCTTACTGATTTTGTTTTTACTGTTGATTCGTTTTCATACCGGAAAAGCAAGTTGCTTAATGATTTTTAATCTAGATGACTGTTATGTGGTATTGAATCAGCATTTCCTGATTGGAGATCTTTTATTTTGCATTTTTTTTGTTTAAACGTAGGTGACTAATTTTTACATCTGACTCTTCCAGTTGATTACCAGAATGTTACCAGTCAGCTTACAGTAAGTATTTTTAGTATCTGCTCATGCTTCTTGATTCATATTGACATGCATTATTATTTTACAGCATCAATATACTAGGCTCCTTACAGAACATATGAAAGGAGAGGGTCCCTGTCCAGATAGGTTACTCCCTAATTCTAGATATGCCGCAATGAAAGGAAGATAAATGGTAGGGAGAAAAGTGGACCAGGGTTACAGTAATAAGAGTTATAAGGAATACCCAGCATGGATTTGTCAAGAACAAATCATGCCATAACTACCTAATTTCCTCTTTTGACAGGATTACTGGTCTAGTGGGGGGGAAACATTAGCCATGATGCACCTTGGTCTCAGTAATGCTCTTGTCGTAGTCCTATCTGACATTATCATAAGAAAAGGAGGGAAGAGTGGTCTAGATTAAATTATAACAAGGTATGTACAGAACTGGTTAAAAGACTGTATGTCAGGGTGGCCAACAAATTTTGCTGGGTCCTGGGCAAGATCTTGAGTGGAAGGGGTGGGACTGGGAGCAAGCAGCCCCCCCAGAGGTGCTTCGACCTCTGCCACTGCCACTGTGGCTTCAGTGGTCAGAAGCCCTGTGCCTTTTAAAACACTGGGCCCTGGGGCAGGTGCCCCCTTTCCTCCCTACTCCTCCTTGGTGGGCCTGCTGTCCTCAGAGAAGTTATCAGTGTTTCGCTTTGAAAGTGGGAGGGCATTATCTTGTGGAATTCCACAGAGATCAGTCTTAGGTTTGTTACTCCTCAATATTCAATATTTTCCCTAATGACTGGGAAAATGGAGTGGGAGAGTATGCTTATAATAATAATGGATGACCCCAAGATGGAGGTTAGGCATAGACTTCAGAATGACCGTAATAAATTAAATACTTATTCTGAAATGAACAAGATTAAATTCATTAAAGAAGGGTACAAAGTACTACCCTTAAAAAGGACAAATCAAATGCACAGCTGCAAAATGGGGAATAATTTGTTAGATGGTAGTGCTGCTGAAAAGGATTTGGGGATTATGCTAGCCAGCAACGTTGTACAATTGAAGAAGAAGGCTAATATGATTCTGATATGGCTTAATGATAGTAGTGTATGTAAGACATGGGAGGTAGAGCTCCAGCAATGGTGAGACTTCAGCTGGCATGCTGTGTCTAATTCTTGGTGCCTCACTTTAGGAAAGATGTGGACTAACTGGAGAAATTCCAGAGGACAGCAGTGAAAATGATACAAGTTTTAGACAACCTGGCCTATGAGGGAGGTTAAAAAAATGGGGCATGTTTAGTCCTGAGAAAAGAAAACTGAAGGGGGACCTGGTAATAGTCTTCAGATAAATGTTAAGGGCCATTCTAAAGAGAATGACTTTCCATGTACTTTGAAGGTAGGACAGGAACTTAATTCTGTAACAAGGGTGATTTGGGGCAGCGTGTCTCAAACTTTTTGGGCTTTGGAGCCCTTTTCATGTGTAAAAATGTATGCGGCGCCCCAGCAGTTCACTGATTGTATGTGTTGTACTTATTGATGTTTCCAGTTTGTCAACCTCGCGGAGCCCCTGGAGATGTCTCGCAGAACCCTGGGGCTCCGCGGAGCACAGTTTGAGAAACACTGATTTAGGGTGGTATTATTAGGAAAAACTTTAGGATATTAGGAAAAGCTTTCTAAATACAAGAATAGTTAAGGACTGGAATGAGCTTCCAAGGGAAGCACCCTAAGTGCTGAAACCCGAGAGGCTTTGAAGAGCAGGTTGGACAAACATCTGTCAGGGTATGTCTACACTACCCCCCTAGTTCGAACTGGGGTGCTAATGAAGCCCAGGATTTGAATTTCCCGGGCTTCATTAGCATAAAGCTGGCGCCGCCATTTTTAAAAGCCGGCTAGTGCGGACCCCGTGCCGCGCGGCTACACGCGGCATGGACTAGCTAGTTCGGATTAGGCCTCATGGAACGAGGTGTACAGCTAGCTCGGATTAGGAAGCCTAATCCGAACTAGCTAGTCCGTGCCGCGTATAGCCGCGCGGCACGGGGTCCGAACTAGCCGGCATTTAAAAATGGTGCCGTCTGGCTTTATGCAAATGAAGCCCGGGAAATTCAAATCCTGGGCTTCATTTGCAACTCCGTATGACTACATTACCCCCCCAGTTCGAACTAGGGGGGTAGCGTAGACATACCCTCAGTGATTATCTCTGTTTATTTGTTTCTGTTTCAATGGAGGGGGCTGACATTGATAACACTTTGAGATCCCTTCCATTTCTACATTTCTATGACTCCAGTGGCTCACTTTTGGCTTAAGTTTTGTTTGTCCATTCATTAGACTTTTCTGGTTTTTACTCCTCTCAGCTGACATTGCATCATACTCACTGTCCCAATCACCCCAGGCAGAAATCTCCTTACTGGCCTCATCAGGATTTTCTAGTTTCCTCTGTCCCCACCCCTGACTGCAAGCATGGTGGGAAATGGTTTCAGAAGGCTCTGGTAGCTACTCTTGTTGTAGATCGAAGGTTAGCACCCCTCCAAGTGGCTCAATCTAGTATTCCAGGAGCTGGCAAACTCCACGTAGGGATTACATAAAGGAAAAGAGAATGTTGCGGGTGGGAGAGAATATTTAACATCCATGGCTGACCAATATATTAAAACCTTTGTATGTGTATGATTTTTCTGTAATATTGCATTACAGCATTCGCAAACTGGAAAATTAAACACCCTTAGACTTTGACATCTGGTTCATATGACACTTCTTATATAAAGAGAGACCTCAATCAATACATGTCTTAATACCAGTCAGTGTTATCAGATCCAATGTGGTTAGAACTTCATCAGAAAAAGGAGTAAAAAGGAGTTAGTTAAAAAAAATTAGTTGACAGCATCCCTTAAATCTAACTGTTTAATTACATATTGAATGAATGTAAGGAATTGATTATTATGAGCATGAAACGCCTTTGAGAGAGACTCCCACTGATTTTTACAGAAGTTGGACCAGAGCCTTTGTCATTAATGTGCTGCTTCAGTTTCTGATGTTCATAAGAATTGATACATGATGGTCACTACTAGTTTTTTCATACCCTATTAAATTTAAATCTTAATTTAAAATTTTCAGTGCATAGACCCGAATCAGCATTTCAAAGCATTTTTGAAAGAGTTCTTACCCAAGCGTTTTCACTACATCAACAATGACCGGATTGAACGTGTACATTTTTACTTAGACCCTCAGTGGCAACTTGCTAGGTAAGTTACCATTCATCAGTACCTGATGAAAGTAAAGAGTTTCTTGTCTTTGTCTTTTGCTCTTGGAGTTCAAAAATAAAACAAATTAATGATTTTAGATTGACAGTTATTGGACACTGAGATCTCCATTTATGCACAGAACAAGTGTTATAGTGGAAAGTACACTTTTTCCTACATTGCCCTTGTGCCTGAATTGGAGGGATTCCCTTAGTCTATGTGAATTTCTCCTTGCTGAATATGCGTAAGTTGTGGGTGGGTTTTGTGATGTGTATGCTTGTCAGTTCAGAAGACTTCATTTCTGCAAAGCATTTAAGTACCTGCTTAATTCCCAAAGCATAAACTTAAATGTAAGCATGCATATAAGTACTTTGCTGAATCAGTGTCTGACTGTGAGCTGCCATGAATCTCCTCACTTCTCATAAGCCATTGAACAACACGTTGTACTTTTAGCTGCTAGCTATACAGGCTGAAACTTTGCTGGGGCCCTATAGATGACATTTCCTGAGCCATCCCCTATTATGTCTTGTTCTCTTATTTCACTGTCAGAAATGCATTGGGTCTTCTGACCTGTACATTTACCTTTGCCAGAAGAATAGTGTATATTGTGTAGTGGTAATGAAGGTGTAATTTAGGAATGGATCAGTTGTCCACATATATATAACATGCTGAAATTTGATGAGAGAATCTATAAGGTGCATGTCTTATGACCTTTAGAATAAACATGCAAATGTAAAGCTAATTAATTTACTAAAATCCCTAAAACGCTAAAGACCAAAATAATTGAACTGAGGTTACAATGGAGATCAGAAGAATTAATCAAGGAAACTAACAGTAGTATACATTGGAGTCAGTAGTATAACATAGATTATTATACAATAATAATATAGATTGAGATCAACAACTGATAAAGTAATTGCATGAACACCATCTATAATCAAATCATGAAACCAGTTAAACACTAACCCTGGAAACCAAAAGCTGAGTAGCTTCTTTCTGAGCCCCAGCAAAATACTATATTCCCTCAGACCACCAGTAATTAATGAACTTAAGTTTTCTCCCACTCCCTACCTAATCTATTTTAAATACAGTTTAATCATCAGCTAACAGTTTCCCTTTTGGGAATGTGGAGGGTCCAGGGCAGACTGACCATTCCAGCCCAGGCTCCAGGGTCCGGCCTGCTACCTGGCCAACTCTTGTGGGCTGCAAGTAGTCAAAGGCTGGCAGGGAGAAGCCTCAGCCCTGGGATCTTGAGTAGTAGTAGCTGCAGCAGGAAGAGACGGGCAGTGCTGTGGCTATCTTCATCATAGCACCGGCCAGTGCCACAGCCATCCCGGGCTGTCCAGGTTTTACTTATGGCTTCTAGCCTGGCTAGGGGTTAGGGCTGGGGAGGGAGGAGGTGGGGCTGGCACTTAACTGAGGAGAAGCAGGAGGCAAAGCCATGTGGTGAGGAGGGAGAGACTCACTACTTTCTGTCTAGTCCACTTCAACCCATTCACCGGGAGGATACAGCCACTGTGAATGACTTACAGAGGTTATTACAGCTGCAGATGGCAGCCTCTATATTTCAGAATTTAAAAGTTTACTCTTGCAGAGTTTACAGACTGGGATATAAGGGGCATGGGATATAGACTTCACTTTAACTAGTGTCTTGTTTTATGCTGCAAACAAGGCTGCTGACTATATATTTACATAGATCCATTTTGTAAAGTGCTATTGGTTACACTCTTTTAAATAGAAAACCATCTGAGATCAAGCATTGCCATGGCGGGTTCCATGGCTCAGACAATCTCTTCGTGAATATGCAGGTAAGATTCAGAAGATGGTAATGATTATGTTTGCTCTTATTTTTAATTTACTTTGTTCCCAGGTTGCAAAGGATGATTTTTGTGTATATGTTTGTTTAATTCAGCACATGGCCTGTGATGGGGTGTGTCTGGCTTGCTTAGAGAATGCCTGAATAGAACAAACATCTTGGAAGCTAGAGAGACCTCCTCATCCAAGGGCTAGAAAGGCTAGCCGCAGCCAATCCGAGCTTAGCAGACCTAGATAAAAGGAGCTGCAGGAGTTTAGCTGGGGCCAGTGAAGTGAAGGAAGGGGCTAGAGAAGAGCCTGTGGACACATGCCCTGAGATAGGCTTGAAGAAAAAAAGGGACTGGTATGTGGCTGTGGTTTATAGGGTCCCTGGGTTGGAACACAGAATTCCCGTACCAGCCATAGATAAAATGGGGTAAATCCCAAGAAGGGAATGGGCTTTTTTTGGAAGTCTGATCAAAGGGCTGAATTTAAAGAACCCAGAGACAGGACTGAATACAGTAGAATCTCAAAGGTGTGAACACCTGAGATATGGACTTACTGGCCAATTGGATACCATATGGAACTAGAAGTCCTCAATCATACAATAACTTAGACAAAAAAGAAAGAAAGAAAAAAAGGAAATACTGTACCATCTTGGAGCTTCAGCCACAAGCCTGCAGCTTACAATGGCTTCAGTTTATGTAATAGTATGTACACTTTTTTCCCTGTAACATTCCTTACAGACAAAAGTAAATTGGAATTTTGTTTAAATTGTAGGCTCTCTTCATTGGCTTTGGACCTGGATTCAAGTTCAAGACTCAAGTTGACCCTTTTGAAAATATTGAAGTCTACAATTTAATGTGTGGTAAGACTAAGTGATTGTCCTTTTACCTCATAAACCCCAGAAAACCCCTTTGGACATAAAAATAAAAACCTTAATAAAGATGTGTATAAATCTGATGAAGCTTCTCCCTTATGACCTAATTTCATAAAGTTGAAGCCATCTGTGTTCCTGAGAGAGACCAGACCTCTAAAGTAAAAAAGATTAATGTGAACTCTCTGACTGGAAAAAAATGTCTTTTTGCATAAGAATTAAAACAATCCTTTCTGATGCAGCTACATTGTAGCTTTTCTAGACTACATGATTGATTTGTTTCCTGCACTTCCTTGTGTGCCTGTGTGCTTACTTGACAATACAATCCTCGTACCATAAACAGGACACTTGTCACTTTGTTTCCTATACCATTACCACGTATTGCACTAGCAATATCAACCTAAGATCCCTTTCTGTAAACTGAATGGTTAGTTGGCTTCTTTGCTCTCCCTTTGTATTATGTTGTCTTTTACTTTACTTTTCTCTACTCCTGGTTTCTTTAGCTAACCATTGTCTTCCATTGTCTGTCAATGATCCTACACATCTCTCTTTGCCTGCTAGTTTCCTCTGTGCCCCATCTGTCTTTCCAGGGGAGGCTTCAGAGGTGACACTTCTTCCTTCTTTTTCACTGACGTTTACCTTTGTACTAGCTCCTCCTTCTTCAAAGGAGATACTGTTATGAAAGGCTTTGAGCAAGAAAAACTGGTAAGCGTGTGAATAGGCCCACTGAAGTCAGTGGAAAAGTTCCGGTGCCTAAATATTCTAGTGGGTCAGGGCCATTGGCAGCAAGTCATGTCACTTTTTCTCTTTCTTGCGGGTATATTGTTGTATTCCCCTTAATATTCAGTTTGAATTGTTTGTAGATTTGCTTGGTTTAACACCAGCCTACAACAATGGAACTCATGGAAGCCTAAATCACCTTCTAAAGAATCCTGTTTACATTCCAAGCCATCCAGAAGAGGAAAGTCATCCTTCTGAATATCCACTCATGAAAACCACACCATTGGACATTGGTTGCTCATGTAATTTGTCAGTAAGTGTTCCGATGGATAAAGCTGCTGAGTCAAAATAATTTGTTTGTCATTGTGTCTGAAACTCTGTATTTCCCAGTGTGATAGCTACATTCATCCCACAATGTTGTCATCTGTAGGCCTGATAGAGTGCCCATTGACATCAATGGAAAGATTCTCTTGATTTTAATGGGCATTAAATAAAGAGACCCTGAGGTATCTTTTCACATAGGACCAAATTCTGCCATTGGAAGGCAAAGTTTGACGGAGAAGCATTGGAACTCCTGAATTTTCTTCCTGTGGAGGACAGTTGTATATAAAATTGAAGGTATTTTTTAATGTAAACCTTGATCGTGCATGCCCTCCAAGGCTGTGTCCAGACTCCATGCCTCCGTCGACGGAGGCATGTAGATTAGCCAGATCGGAAGAGGGAAATGAAGCCGCGATTAAAATAATCGCGGCTTCATTTAAATTTAAATGGCTGCCCCGATCTGCCGATCAGCTGTTTGTCGGCAGATCGGGAGAGTCTGGACGCGATGCCCCGACAAAGAAGCCTTTCTTCATCGACACAGGTAAGCCT